ACGGGAACGACAATGGATATGCCGAGAGAATCACCTAAAGCAACCAAGAATTTGACTAGAGAAATGAACTCTCCCACTTAGCTCCTCTCTATGTTTTCCAACTCTCAAGTTCAAGTGAAAAATAAGTGATGTCTTGTAATTATAGAGCCAAAACCATTTAAATTCAAATTTAAATATTGTACTATAATCAAGAGTAAATGTAACACAATTAGAAAATGAGAATTGATCATAAGACTAAATCCAACCATTGGATTTAATCTATGGTCCAAAATACTCCTAACTAGAATAGGGAACATTACTCATTTCATGCATTTCTTCTTCAATTTTAGAGCATTCTACATATGATAAACACATGTATGCAGCTAATGGTATATTGACAGACTTAACAAATTTCATACCAAATTTTGTTATTTACTTTATCCAAATAAGACTCTCGATTAATAGTCATCCTACTATCAACTCTATACCTTTTAATAATCATGCCAAGAATTTTTTTGTCTTTCCTAAATCTTTCATGTCAAATTTTATGATTTTAGCTTTACTAGAGCTAGCAAGCAACATGTCATATACATATAACAATATATAAACTTCACAGCCTACTTTAGAATTATTAAAATACAAACATGCATCAAATTCACTCTCTGAGTAAATCACATATGAATCAAATTTTTTATACCATTGCCTAAGACTCTGCGTAAGATCATAAAATGACTTTCTAAGCAAGCACACAAGTTCAAATTTCTCCTTGACCTCAAACCCTTAGAGTTGAGACATGTAAATCAATTTATCCAACTCCCTAAGAAGAAAAGCCGTCTTAACATCTAGTTGCTCTAATTCCCAATCATACTAGATTGCAAAGGCTAAGATTAACCTGATAGTTTTATACTTAATGACCAATGAGAACACCACAGTACAGTCTATCCCCCTCTCTGAGTAAATCCCTTCACAACAACCTAATTTTATATGTTAAAGGATCTTTAGGTCCTACTCCTTCTTTCAACTTCAAGATCCATTTACAATGGATTACCTTTTGATTCTTTTGTTTTTCAACCAACTTCCAAGTCTCTTTTTGTTCAGAGACTGGATCTCTTATCTTATAGCCTTTTTTCAAATTTCAAAATTTTTATAGGTAACTGCTTCTTCAAATTAAACCAATTCAACTGATTCCGAGGCTGCATCTGAAATTAGGATAAATTCCATCCAATTTGAAGAGATGTACTTCAAATTGGGCTTCACTTGTCGTCTCTCCCTATCCCTTACTAATTGATAATCATCCAAATTAATATCTGCAGTTGTTTCTTGATTAAGGACAATAGCTTTAGAAATTTCAAGTTCAGGTTGTTTTATCACCATTTCTTGTTCAGATTATTCTTGATGTTGGATTTTACTATCCTTTGGATTATCATTTATTCTCTTCACTTCAAACTCCATCTTCTTTTCTATTAGAAAATTCCCCTTCCTCAATCCATTTCTTCTGACTGTCTGTTTTTAAGGCTAGGTATATCAAGTTCATTGAAATTCACATCTCTACTGTTAATAATCTTTAAGGGTGGGCGCGGGTCGATTCGGTTCGATTCTGAAGAGAACCGACTCGAAACAAAATTTTCAGGTATCTAGTAAATGGAACCGTTAGGTCCAAATATATTTATGAAACCGTTCGGTTTGGTTCAGTTCAGTTCGGTTCGGTTCTGTGCTATAATTAAATTTTTTAACATTTATAACAACATTATATAAATACAACTAATGATACATTCAATGGTTTTGGAATGTCAGAGACTAGTAGACTATCTTATTCAAATGATCGCTATGGTCAAAATTTCGGTCAGCGGAGGTCACAACTTCGATTGGAGGTCAAGTGTCGACCGACGATTGTATAGGTTTTGGAATATTAGCGAGGTTGCGAGAGTGAGTGCGAGAGTCTAGACAACGTTATATACTTTAGTGTAGGTGTTTAGGGTTATTTAGTGGATTGGATCTTGTTGAGCTAAAAAATGAAACAATAAAATTGGTAATTGAGCCAAAAATTAAAAAAATTAGAAATGAAACAAATTTTTAGGCCAAAAATTTGGATTTAGAAATAGTTAATTTGTTAATTTGTTTAGAAAAAATTAAAATTAAAATAATTTGATTTACTCAAAATAAAATAAAAAAATTAGAAATATTCGATTCTTATTCGGTTCTTGGTCTAGAACCGATAACGAACCGTACCCGTCGGTTCTCAATTCAAATGCCCGTTCGGGTATTTAATTTGACAAGAATCGTCGGGTTTAGTTTGGTTCGGTTCGGGTTCGGGTTCGGGTTCGGGTCGGGAGATTTGCCCAGCCCTAATAATTTTAGTGCCCTTCACACTTAAAACCCACAATCTATATTCTTTTACTCTCTGGAGAACCTAAGATGACATACTTAGTAGCCATATGATCCAATTTTCCTTCAATCTGATGTAAATAAGCCGTACAACCAAACACTCTAATGTGTAACAGATCTGGATAATTTTTTTTAAAATCATAATTCTTAAGCAGTCTTGAAGTTAACAAAACTAGAATGTGACTTATTTATCAAATAGGCAATAGTACACACCTTCACCCCAAAAACCTTTAGACAACTCAGAATTAATCATCATACATCTGACTTCATCTATTAAAGTCTGATTCATTCTCTCTGCCATCCCATTTTGTCGGAAGGTATGTTTCATAGTTCTATGCTTCATTATACTCTTATCATTGTAGAAACTATCAAATTCAAAGTTGCAAAGCTCTAAACCATTTTTTGTCCTAAGAGTTTTCATACCTCTTCCCATTTGATTTTCAACTAAGGCAAGTTAGCACTTGAACTTATTAAAGTTTTAGATTTTGATTTAAGGAGATGCACCCAAAAGTTCTAAAAGAATAGTTACCAAACAGGGATATTATCTAATGACTAAAGTCGTGTTTGTCACCCATTATTTGGGAAGGATATATTATGGAATAATGATTGATGTTGAAATGTGTGGTTAAAAAAGAAGGAAATTTTTTTTATTTATATATAATATTATTTTAATAAAGAATGTGTAATTGAAAATGAGTACTGTAGAAAAAAGAATGGAAGAAAATGGATGACAAACATGGGCTAAATGATATCACGAATTAAATTTCCATGCCTTTTTGCTGTTGCTTTGCTTTGTCGAGCAAAAATCGAAAAAGAAAAACAGTCATGTCAAGAAAATGGAACCATAGCTATCATATGTTCTTTGATTGAACCCTAATAATTGGGAATTGATTCTCCGTTCTATTTGTTTGAAACCCAAAACTTTCTGGCTGAGAACATGCGCACATGCAAATCTGTAATTTTGGCCATCAAAATGGGGAACCCTCTATTTAATTATGGAAGATCCAAGAAAGTAATTAAATCCACCATGTGTATTAATTGTTACTTCTTTTTCAAAATTATGTCCAAAGCCATCTTCGAACATTTACTCTTTGAAGAGAGAGAGAGAGTTTCTTTACTTATATGTTGATGTTAATTTATCATGATGATACTTTATAATGTCAATATAATATAACTTGTCCTTTAATTCATGTTAATAAGGTTTATATGCATATGTTTAAACAAGTAACCTATAAATAAAAATATGTGTACGAACTAGTAGCAAATATACAAAACCATCCTTATCTAACCACGTGAATAACTAAGTTTCACTCCATGCACTTGAGAGGATTAGGGTCCAAAGATGTTTAATGATGAAATTAGACAGGTATGTAATAAAAAACTACGAAAATGAATTTATATATACATAAATTCTATCGAATATTGTATAGAATAAAATTTTACCCCTAAAACGTGTTCATTAGGTCTGTACAGGTGTAAATATGAAGTTATAAATAGAAATATGCATTTATACATCTAGTTAAGACTTAAGAATACCGAAAACATCTTTATCTATAGCCACATCGGTAACCAAGTTCACTTTGTGCAATTGAGAGGAAGTTGTTACAACTAGATGAAACTTTTTACGACTTTCAATCATAATAAGCATTTCTTGGCTTATCTCATGCATTGTCTCTCATTATTCAAACACATCTGCATAACTGAATTAAATACCACTTATCAAATATTTCTCGTTTAAAATAAGTCATAGTGAGACATCGGCTTTATTATCAGTATCTACTGCTTTTCAGATTATAATTGAAATAAAGCATTAGGTCACATGTATGACTGAAAACATTGTCACTATTTCATAACACAATTCCACATGTTTCTAGTTCCACTGTCCATTTCAAGTTTTCTTTTTAATAGACCCTTCACCATTTTTGGTCCACCTGCACCCTCAAATCCTCTTTTCATTGGTACGTGGCAATTTTCCTTTCGTTATCACCTCTCTGCAATTAAGTACGAAAAGATATGTTGATAATTATAGTCGCATAGATTGTGGATCAAAATAGGGAGAAAATCAGAACAAATAGAGGGTTATTAAGTTACTCGTAATCAAGTAGTTTTCTCTGCATTAAATGTTATACGGAATATCAGGAGCAGTATTGCTAAAATATTATTTGTCCACACTGAGAATTCGCTTCCAAGTTAAAATTGCGAGGTGTGATCTTTTTTTTCTATTGAAGGGTCTTTTTTAGAGTCTTGCTAGATGAACATAGAGGATGACATTAAAGTTGACATAATCCTCACACATGAGGTCGGTATTTTTTTATTCACCCCGAGTCCCATGCATTTTATGGGAGTGCTATGTCATTCTCTATGTCGTCGGCTATGTTCGTTTAGAATTATTCTCTTTTTTAACCATACCACCCCCACCAATGATTAGCAAAATGACTGATGAGGCGGGAAGAATTTATCTATGTAAACCTGCTAGTCAATGGGACGCTAAAATGATGAAACCCTACATTACAAACCAAGAAAAAGTATATGAATTGATCTCGAACTATAAATGAACATTAATACAATAGACGAGAGATATAAATTATAAACCTGCATTTTTCCCTTTTGTACCCGAGAGAAGTAGTTATGAAGCTATTCTAGATATCTCAACAAAGTACTAGAAAGTGAGCCATCTAAGGACAACCTTATATTTTAACCGTAGATATGAAAGGGGCTTACTGAAATATACGTGCGGGTACGTAGCTACTCCACGCTAGATTATAACATTTATGGACCACTGTTATCAATCCTAGCCGCTTGTTTTGACCTAATTGACTACAAATAAATACTAAATTACAAGTCTTCCAATAAATTAGTGCAGAAGTATATAAGACAGATCACTCGGTGCAGAGAATAGGGAGGTCAAAGATTTTGAGCTTCCAGTTGAAATTATGAAGGGGGCAGTAGCATTTTCAGAATCTCTCTTTTCGTTACTGTTTATCTTATCGACTATAGCAGCTACTTCCGGGAACCACCAATTCAGGGAGGCTCCGAAGTTCTACAATTCTCCGAAGTGCCCTTCCATTCACTGCTCCACCGCCGCTGCCGCCAAGATTTGCTCGGACAATGCAGTACATGTAGCAATGACTCTAGACGCATTTTACCTCCGGGGATCCATGGCTGCTATTCTTTCAGTCCTTCAACACTCGTCTTGCCCTGAAAATATAATCTTCCACTTTGTGTCTTCCGCTACCGCCGACACCTTCCATCTCAACCTCACAATGGCAAAGTCATATCCTTATCTTCAGTTCAACGTCTATCCTTTCAATGATTCGCCGGTGGCGGGGTTGATCTCAACTTCTATTCGTGCTGCACTGGATTGTCCTCTCAACTATGCCCGCAACTATCTCGCTGATCTGTTCCCAAGATGCGTTCAAAAGGTTGTTTATCTAGATTCCGACCTCGTACTCGTCGATGATATTGCTAAACTTGCTTCAACTCCTCTAGGCAATGAAGCAGTTTTAGCAGCACCTGAGTACTGCAACGCAAACTTCACCACCTATTTCACGCCGACATTCTGGTCCAACCCTTCTCTTTCCTTAACCTTCGCGAATCGAAAACCTTGTTATTTCAACACTGGAGTCATGGTCATTGATCTTGAGAGATGGAGAGCCGGGGACTATACAACAAAAATTGTGGAATGGATGGAGCTGCAGAAGAGAATGAGGATATATGAATTGGGTTCTTTGCCACCTTTCTTGCTTGTTTTTGCCGGAAATATAGCTCCAGTGGATCACCGGTGGAATCAACACGGCCTCGGCGGTGATAACTTCCGGGGGCTATGCCGGGATTTGCATCCGGGTCCAGTAAGCCTGTTACATTGGAGTGGAAAGGGTAAACCATGGGTTCGACTAGACGCCAACCGCCCTTGCCCTTTGGATGCTTTGTGGGCACCTTATGATCTATTACAAACGCCATATATTATTGATTCTTGAGGTATGAGCCTACAAACTAAGAAAAATCTCGCGTGAAATATTTTCTATTTTGGTAACTATTTCAATTTCTTTTTAAATTTCTTCATTTTTTTTTCAGAATTTTTGTAATTAGGAACCACAAGAGAGATGAGAGATCTGAAGCTGGAGATCCCACTCAATTGTGTTAAATACTATTACTACTATACAGTACGGTTTTTTCTTCCGCGGAGGACGTAAGAAACATGAATCGAAGTTGAGGGAAGAGATGTCATACCTTTTCAGATATCGAGTCATCTCACTGATGACATCAAAGATGAATATCTTGAGAGTAAAGAGGTTTGTACATTACGTATAGCTATAGATAAATATTTACTTATGTACTTCGGAAATAGTTAATTACAGTTGAAATAATAATTATGTTGAATTCAATATTCAATTTGCCTTGCCTTGCATTGTTTGAAAGAATCATTTATACTGTTTACATTTTGAAACAAAAGGAAAAATTAACAAAATTGAAAAGAGGGCAAAGCGCATTCAATTACGGCTATTGATTTGTTTAATAGAGCCATCAATCTTAAGATGCTTTTCAATTTCTCTTTTTACTTTTTTGCATGATTTTCTTTTTTCTTTTATGTTTTTTGATACTAATGAAGGTTTTAAATTTACCTTACTATGAAATTACAATTCTTATATTCGAGTAAAATGAAAAATATTAAAGATAATTAATGATCTTGTTGCTATCCAAATTTAATTATCAGAATTTCTTCCAGACAATAATGTTACTTGTATAGTGTATAGTTCTCTATCAGATATGACCTTTCGTATAGTCTCGGAGGAAGCTCCACCTGATAGGACACTATTCCTACCTTCTTTGTTATTGGGAAGGGGCCATCATATCTTCTTATTAACCCCTTATCTTCCTTAGGGACTTGAATTGTTGTGGTAGGAGTTTATCGATTTGATTTTTGGAAAAATAAAGCTTGTAGTATCTTAATTTTTTATTAATAAATTAGAACTCTTTCCTTATATCAATCATAGAATATTTGGTGTTACGAAAAAACACTAAAATATTTGATGTTACAAAAAAACACTTGAGTATATTGTAGGGAGGAGCAGTCAAAGAGTTGCTACTACACAAACAAGTATCACAAGGGGTGTTGGGAAATTTCAGAAGAATCTTTGTTACTTGAGCTTAACACAAAATTTTGGATGATAAGTAATTATCTGAATTAATATTTTGATGTTTTGTACCAATAATGTTTTAAGAGACGAGTAATGCTATTCATAGTCGCTCACTACGGTAATCATCCTATGTGACATCCTATATGTCAATTGTGATTTGATATATTAATGTGATAGTTTTTCTTACCTTATATATCAAATTACTAACCACTACATGTAAGTCACATAGGGCGATTACGATAGTAAATGACTGCAAATAACATTATTCTCTAGAGAAAATGGAATTTATTTAGGGAAGGTATGTGTTTTACATATTCATTGTGTCTAATTTTCACCTCTCAAATCAAATCTAGGCAATCCGTGGATGATTAATAGTTGACGTTACAATTTTATTTGATAATATAGATTGTAATAATATTAAAAAATATAATTTAAAACAGATTAAAAGGTTGGCCAACTTGTCAAAAGTTGAAGATTTCTTTGTCGTCCACTTTGATCTTCCTTTTTAATAGGAATTACTCTAAGCCTTGACATTGCCTTTTGTAGTAGTTAAATGACCCTCGTGCATTCAACGCGAACTATTTAGCTGGACAAATTGGGAGCGTCATCAACTCAACTTTTGATAGATTTTAAAGGATTATAAATTCTAATGAATTTCGTGGATATTTTCACAATTTTCATAAGAATCACATAAAAAATGATGAAATTTCAAAAAATTTGGTTATATATATGTATATATTTTTTTTTTAAACTTGAAGTCCATCCAAATATTTTAAAATCCCCTTATTAATGAAATCTTTATAAATTCACTAATTATTGAGAATAGCTAAATTTTAAAGAATTTCATGAACTTCATTAAAATCTCAATTTAGGACACCCAAATTTTAATGAATTTCTTTAAAATTTGTTATAATCTCAATTGAGGACGCTTAAATTTAGAAAGATTTTAAAAATTCATCACAATTTCAATTGAGGATATCCCTAGAGTGTTCTTTAATTTTTTGATTAGAATAACGAAAATATTATACGCACAATATATCAAACTTGTGAACAAAGACAGTGTAATATCAAGAAAGGTATGGAGAAAAACAGTGTCGGCAGCCATCATAATATGAAGAATTAACCTTAAGCCATGGCCCATGAACACATGACACAATTATTGACATCGTAAGGCCATATGTTTCAAAACCCTTCCGATGTCGGCCTCTATAAAGCTACCTTTGGACTACGACATTTAGTCCCTTCAATTAAAAAAAAAAATAGATAAAAATCTAAGTTAAAATCAATAATTAAATTTAACAACATACTCACGGAATCCACAAATTTTATCAATTTTCAATTTTACTAAAATCTACTAAAGAATTGATTTCCATCAAAACCAATTAAGGGTATAATGAATGAGTCATTTAAACTTTTGAAGTTACCTTCGCAGTATGTAATAAAAGAGTCTTTGAGAAGATTTTGTACCTGTCTCTTCCTTAAGTTTTCTGCTGCGATTGAAATCTCGATATATGTCAAAGTCCCAACCAGATAAAGGCTTGAGAGAATTTCCTTTAAATCAAAATGTTGATGAGTAACTACTAAAAGAGTCGAGAGTAAATTAAAAGTGTTATGAATACAAGTAATTTTGATTCTAATAAAAATATTTAATCTACAAAATATCAAAAACATTTATTTTATCAAATTAGGCGTAGGAATCCACACCATAGCTAGTAGACCATCAATGGTCTTGATTGAGACGTAAGATCATGACACATATATTGTCGTGTTATATAACCAGAAAGAATTTAGCACCGGGGGAAGAGCACATACAAATTGAAATTTCCACATCGATGTATTACAAGAAAATGACGTACATAAATTTAACAAAGAGTCAAAGAGCTCATTTTTTCTATAATTTATATCGTACAGACCTAACATATATTTCAAACTTATTGGATCAGGCATGGACATGTCACATGTGATGATAACTATTAGTATTATCACAATTAATATGGGAATCAAGTTTTCAATGCTCACCCAATTAATTGTTAATTAGAGGAAATTAAGCCTATACGACCCAAATTTGAAAGAGTTAAAATTTACGCCATGGACCATACTACATGCACCAATTTTTTTTACCTAATTTCTTGCCGACTACTCACAATAGAGAGTGAGGAACACATTTTAAGATTTTTTTTATTCATGAGGATCCCCTACATGTAGGGTGGGCGTGAATTGATTCGGTTCGGTTCTCTTTAGAACCGAACCGAACCAAAATTTTCGGGTCTCTAGTAAATGGAATCGTCGGGTCCAAATATAATTATGGAACCGTTCGGGTTCGGTTCCGTTCAGTTCAGTTCTGTACTATAATTAAATTTTTTAACATTTATAACAACATTATATAAATACAATTAATGATACATTCAATGATTTTGGAATGCAATAGACTAGTAGACTACCTTATTCAAATGATCGCTATGGTCAAAGTTTCAATCGACGAAGGTCGCAATTTCGATCGAAGGTCACAGCATCAACCGACGATTGTATAGGTTTTGAAATGTCAGCGAGGCTACGAGAGTGAGTGCGAGAATCGAGACAACGTTATGCACTTTAGTATAGGCGTTTAGAGTTATTTAATGGATTGAATCTTGTTGTGCTAAGAAATGAAACAATAAAATGGGTAATGGGACCAAAAATTAAAAAATTAAAAATGAAACAAATTATTGGATCAAAAATTTGAATTTATAAATTGTTAATTTGTTTAGAACAAATTAAAATTAACATAATTTGATTTACTCAATATAAAAAAAAATTAGAAATATTCGATTCTTCGTCTAGAACCGAGAATCGAACCGTACCCGTCGATTCTCAATTCAGATACCCGTTCGGGTATTTAATTTGACAAGAATCGTCAAATTCGATCGGTTCGGTTCGAGAGATTTACCCAGCCCTACCTACTTGCATGTGAGATGAGGTAAACAATTTAATACACTATTATTCTTACGCCATTATCATGTAAAGTTTCTTTGGAAGTAAAAAAGTAAATCATTTGCTACGGAAAATGGAATCCTAATTCTCCCTATGGTTTTTGGCAATCTTGTGAGAATTTGGCTAAGACTTTTGACTTTTACAGTATATAGAATCAGTTTTGTCATAGATATATGTAGACATATGGCTGTAGCATTGATGCCAATATTCACGTTTAGACTCATGTAAACCATAAAAGATATAATCAAAATTATCCTACAAAATTTTCCCTCGCAAGGAAACATAATTATACTAATTTAAGTACAAAAATGAGAAATCCAAATTAGAACAAGTCCCTTGAAGATGATCCTTTTCTCATCATCTTTTTGTCTTCTTAAACGACTTCCCTTTATTACGACCTAAATATTTCTCAATCTCTTCCTGGGCATCACCTTCACCACCTTTTCGCCTCTTATTTCCTCCAGTTTCTTTGATTTTCTGCAGAAGATTTAAGAAATAAAATCATGATATTATATTTATTGCCTAGAAAACACAGTCCAACAAAATGATAAGAATAGCTATATCTCAATCGTACAAAATTATAAAACGGTTCATCAACCAAGTGTGTCAAACTAAATGATACGACATAGAAACCAAGGAACTCGAAGGAAATCAATTGAACGCCCATAATGTCAACGCAATCTGAGCAAAAATTTAAAATATATCAGAAATACAGTGTTTAGGATTTCATCATAAGAACTTGAAATTTTCAAACTATAATTTTAACCACGCATTCACAGCTACAACCTACTTAACATTTGCACTTTTCCTAGGACCCATTACTCCTCATCTTATTATAATGACTGTCAAGTCCACATGGCACTAAGAGTATGTTCGGTAAGGTGGATTACAGTACTGGATGATATTAACAAAGAAAGGAATTAAAATCTTATGTTATCATTCGGGATCATCTTAGACAATGTTTCCTGCCAAATCACTCGTGGTATGATCTTCTACATCCGAGGTCTTCCCGTTCCGTCATCTAGCTTATGTAACTTCTAGGAAATTTGTTTCAACTTGTGGCTGAGCTTCGAGCAATTATGGATGGGCTACGACTTGGTTGTAGGTTGGTCTCACACGTCTGGATTGAATCTGATTCTTTGGTGGCAGTGCAATGTATAAGTGAGATGGCAGCAGGGATTGGAGTATTCAAAACGTGATTAAATTCACCCATACAAGTTGGGCTTCAACTTTAGAATCTCTGATATTAACTAGAGAAGGGAATAAGGTGGCTGGTTTTTAACTAATGAGGGCACCATGCAATGTTACATGGTGTTGATAGGCAATAAACGCCAATCTAAACTTAATCGTATTTTGTATCTTGGTCGCTTATATGTCCCATATATCCGAGGTGAATATATTGGATCAAAGAAATAACAATTGCACAGCATTGAGGGTGATTTTTAGCTGTAGCATAATGTTTAATGATCTAGGCGTTAAATAATGGAGTAGTACTACAAATCTAGCTTTTGTTTTCCTATTTTTGACTTCCGTAACAAAAGTAGTACCTTCATCTTTAAGTTTCTCAAGGATTGATCTGTGCTAGAACATCTTGAAGTAAGTATCTCGCTCAAGTATGGGGACCCACCATCAGTATTTTGGTAGGATCTTAAAAATTCCAATATAGGCGGTGGTGGATTTTCTTAAGGAAAAAAGGTTAAAATCTAATTCATTTGTATTGCCTAATCTTGTCCAGTACTACATATCAAACATGCCCTATTAGTGAACCAATTTAACAGATTCACAAGAATATCTAACTCCTGAGTTCAACCTCAGCAACCAACTTTTAAGCAGAACTAATGCTAAACTATGATATCAAAAAAATGCTAAATGCCTACCATCACAGATATTCTTTTGGCCTCGGTTACACGTTCCAACAGTTGCAACACCTCATCCAGCTCAGCAGGGTACTTCGGTAACTTTTTACCTGAAACAGAAACGATATTTGGTCTAGGGAAAATAAAGGTCGGATAACTCCGCCAAGAAATTATTTAAATGTGTTTCTTACCAATAAGTTGCTCTATTTGCAGGTACCATCCCATCTCGTATTGATTGATCAATGATATTGCAATCCCAGAGCGTCCAGCACGAGCAGTTCTTCCAACGCGATGTATATAATCCTGAAGACATTTCACAAAATGACAATATAAGATTAAATTGACAAAAACCAGAAGACTGCATGTTGGTTGGTGATTATTTTATTATTACTTCTGATCAAACAAACTTTTTTATCCACACATTTTGTATGAACCAAAACTATTACTACCCACTTTCTATCCCTACATTCCATAGGACCCACAGCTTACAATAAGCACTATTTGTAGGATTCTAGCCAGTACACTTTTTATTTGACAGCAGAGAATTCATATCTTGATGATAGTACCTCAAGAATGTAACAAACATTAAAAGAGGGCAAGCGCTGACCAAAGGCACTAAGAAGTGCTGAAACATTAAGCACGAATGCTGGTAAAGAGATGGTATGGAGGAAGAAACCTTGAAGAGCAATTTAGATTTCAAAACATTAAAATTATACATAACATTATATAAGTTAGCTACAAGTCTATAATACTACAGTAGATGGTAAGAAGCAGCAGACATATCATTTCAGCTCAGTTTTCCCAACCTCACAATAGCAACAATAATGAGAAAATACGACATGCCATTATAGGTACACCAGACTGTGTTTATGGGCCAGACATATGATGATCATTTGGTCATTTGGTCATAATAAGTGAGTCTACAAATGATTTGGAGAGATTTATTCACAGATTAGGTTTTTCTATCCACTCTTCTTCTTGCAGTCTTGTGCGATTCTACTTAATAATTATCTTTTTGTTTTTTCAACAAACAAAATATTTTTTTAGTAGCCAGAGAAGAAAATTATATTACAAGTTATTAACTTGCATTTTACATAAATAAGATGGAAGGGATGAAAGCAGTAAAATGTTGGACAAGTTGAGCTAACAATAGCCAGTCAACATGAAATGAGAACTCAGAAATTGGATATTGAGGAAAACAGACATCTTTGGAACAAGAACATAGTTTATAGACCACGAAGAATAAAGCTTAACCTTTGAGTTGATGGGGATATCGTAGTTGATAATCATATCTACAGATGGGATATCAAGTCCTCTACTGGCAACATCAGTACAGATGAGTATGTTGCACTCTCCAGACTTGAATTTGTTTAAGGCTCCAAGTCTTTTTGCCTGCAAATAAAAGCGAAATGAATGTGAAAGCGCATGGAAACAGACTATATTGCAAAAATGGACTGTTTCCATGTGTAACACACAAGTAGTACTTCAGCAAATCTGTTAGTAAGATATTTAAATAATACCTGGCTCATATGACCACTAATCGGAATGGCTCTAAAGCCAAGGTTCCGAAGAAGGTAAGCCAAAAGAACAGTTGCATCACATGTTCGAGTAAAAACCATAGATGTACTTTCTGGCTTCTCGGTGAGAATAAAAACAAGATAGCACTCCTGCAGCAAATAAAAGATGTAAATCAAAACCCAAAGAAGAACAATATAAAATAATTTAGCAAAGAATACCTTGCAACTTTTACTTTAATATAAGTACAATTGCAGAAACACGGTATGGAGAACAGACACAAAAAAGGGTTCTATTTTACTTAGCCTATGTTTGGCTAATGTAAATAAACTCTTTATAAGTACTCCAATCACATTATATCCTCACATTTCGAGGGATAAACAAGTACTATTCACAACACTTATTCCTATCTATTTATAATTTAAAAGGTTCATAAACACTTCCCAAACATACTTTTATTCTGAACTATTCTCCGAGTTCATTCAAACCAGTAAAAATTAGATTCATAATAGTTTTACCCCTATTGTTCGTATTTGTTGAACAATCATATTCTATAAGTAGCATTTAACTCACAAGCCCTGTAACGTAGTACAGAATTGGGCAGGTCTGAGGCAGGTCTAAAGCTCAACCTATTACTATTACGCAAAAATAATCCACAATCAAAAGGTACCAGGAGTTGAACTTTTGTGCTCGCCATGAGATAAACAGTGCCCATTTTCCGACAACGTTTTACTGTAGGATGTTACAATCATAGTGCCCCATAGTAAGAAGACTAATAGTTTAAGTGATGATGACTTAGCATTAGAAGAACCACAATATGAACTAAAACCACACTTTTTTACCAAAGTGTTGACTCAATATTTTCCACCTTAGCCAGAAAAAATTACACATATACATATAATCACCATCTTAATGTTCATACAGTGGCTTCACAAAGGACTGGCATACAACATTAGGAGGTCTCTTGTATGCCAAATTGAAGCTATAGAAAGTACAGACCTTATACTTCGCCGGAACAAAGCAATACTGCTGCTTAAGCGTATCAACAGTGGAATATTTGGATGCAGCTTCAATCTGTTGGATAAAAAAACAAATGAGACAAATATTCAATGAGAATTTTTTAAAAATGACAAGCAAGAACACGCACAACATACCTTTACAGGATTTTTTAGACAAGCTCTCTGGAGCTTTTTCACCTGTTACATTGAGAAACAGAAATCATTAGGCAATTGAGATTATTTGCACTACATTCCATTCCTGGCAAATAACTGATTACATCTACCTGAAGCACAAAGAAACAGGACTCGATAGCCACAGCAAATAAGAATAAAGAAAAATCTATCTAGGTTTTCTTTTACTCTTGAACCAGTTAAGGCCTGTCTAAGAAAATATCACTATAACAAATGGATTGGGCTTTTTGGTCCTCTGCACACAGATGACAAATTAGGTGACTGTCGATTTGCTTCTGCTGGCTGCTGCCAATTCAAATCCAGTAATTGAGTGAATCAAAGAAATGACTACAGAAAACTTTGAATATATTTAGATGCAGGATATGCAGAAGCAAGAAAAGCAAGGCAAAATGTAAATAACATTTTTTCTTCTATACATAAAAATGTTAACCAGAAAAAAGTAAGAACATTCTTTTGTAAGAATGATAATGAAAAATATAGCCGTTACAGGATCCACACAAGAGATAGAAGTCAAATATGCTGTTTTGATGTGATAGATAACAGTCATATTTTTCATTTTTGTGGCCAAAGAATGAGAATCAAACAAGGTCAAAATTACGAAAAATGCATATAAAAGATCTTCACAAAACATTAAAAACACCAAACAATATAATCAAATCTTATGAAACTATAAGATGCAATTTGCAGACTGACTAGAGGGAAGGTGTATGTGATCTGCATGATATCAAACAAGATTAACGTAGAAAGAAGGAATAAGAAATCATGTAACAGGAAAATAATGGCCACATGCAAAAAAGTTGACTACCGTGTTACATCCACCGTCACAGAAGTATGACTTAATGATGATGGATAGAACATATGTACACACAAGTTTACAGCATGACCATTAACTTGCATACCTTTTTAGTCATTGTTGCAGAAAATAAATATGTTCTTCGCTCACGAGGAATAACGCCCAAAATTTCATCAATCGTTTTCTCAAAATCCTCATTTAGTAATCTATCTGCTTCATCTAGTACCTGTCATATAAATAAATAATCACATGCTCACATGACATTTATTACCTATTAAGAAATGTTAAAAACTTAATTTGCATTCAATTCAAATTTTGTAATGTCCAGAGTGTTATTTCACAAAATTATAAAAGAGCTGCATAGAAAGAGGGTGCTGAAGGGGCATGGAGAAGAGTGTCATGGAAGTTGAAATGCGTATAGAGTCTCACCAAGTATTTCAATGCACGAAGAGAGAATCCTTTGGTATTAGAGAGATGATCAACAAGACGGCCAGGTGTTGCCACCTACAACAAGTAGGTCAACAAAATCGTCATTTTCAACAGTCAGCACTGCAAATAAATGCATGAACAAGAAAACAAATATCCATCAGGAATACAAACTAAAGTAGCTTCGAATATTCTAAAACTTTAGAGAACAATATGTATCTACACTTGAACCAAGCATCATAATAATGAATGATAGTTTCGTCAAGAAATTCACTGAAAGAACCAAATAGATATATCAGTCGAGCATGAACACTTTTTTTTTTCTCTATCTCTCTCTCTCTCTCCTGGCCCATCCTGATCTGCCACTAATTGAGGAGCTGAGAACCTAAAATCTGAAACGTAGTTAAACATGGCAGCTTCACATTTTGACTGGCAACCCAATAAGTATTCTGATTTATTCCAAGTTGCAAACTGCAGATTAATGTGAAGAGGAGCACGGAAAAGTACAGGTGAATAATCACTGACACTTTCTTAATGGTCTATGTTCTTTCACTCCTTTTGCATATTCTGCTACAATCTTTGTGGGTCACTTTGGCAGAAACATTACCCTTCATCAATACCTCCTTTTCTCTCAAGTTTCATTTACATCTATGTAGCTCTGTATTTGAATTTAAAGCCACCAATGTAACAAAGCATAACATCGAAATCATATGAGATCCCCTCCTTTTCTTTCATCCACTTGACGACACTTTGTGCTCTCGCGCAGCTGCTTTGGGTACACACAGATTTTCTAGAACCGAGAATCGAACCGTACCCGTCGATTCTCAATTCAGATACCCGTTCGGGTATTTAATTTGACAAGAATCGTCAAATTCGATCGGTTCGGTTCGAGAGATTTACCCAGCCCTACCTACTTGCATGTGAGATGAGGTAAACAATTTAATACACTATTATTCTTACGCCATTATCATGTAAAGTTTCTTTGGAAGGAAAAAAGTAAATCATTTGCTACGGAAAATGGAATCCTAATTCTCCCTATGGTTTTTGGCAATCTTGTGAGAATTTGGCCAAGACTTTTGACTTTTACAGTATATAGAATCAGTTTTGTCATAGATATATGTAGACATATGGCTGTAGCATTGATGCCAATATTCACGTTTAGACTCATGTAAACCATAAAAGATATGATCAAAATTATCCTACAAAATTTTCCCTCGCAAGGAAACATAATTATACTAATTTAAGTACAAAAATGAGAAATCCAAATTAGAACAAGTCCCTTGAAGATGATCCTTTTCTCATCATCTTTTTGTCTTCTTAAACGACTTCCCTTTATTACGACCTAAATATTTCTCAATCTCTTCCTGGGCATCACCTTCACCACCTTTTCGCCTCTTATTTCCTCCAGTTTCTTTGATTTTCTGCAGAAGATTTAAGAAATAAAATCATGATATTATATTTATTGCCTAGAAAACACAGTCCAACAAAATGATAAGAATAGCTATATCTCAATCGTACAAAATTATAAAACGGTTCATCAACCAAGTGTGTCAAACTAAATGATACGACATAGAAACCAAGGAACTCGAAGGAAATCAATTGAACGCCCATAATGTCAACGCAATCTGAGCAAAAATTTAAAATATATCAGAAATACAGTGTTTAGGATTTCATCATAAGAACTTGAAATTTTCAAACTGTAATTTTAACCACGCATTCACAGCTACAACCTACTTAACATTTGCACTTTTCCTAGGACCCATTACTCCTCATCTTATTATAATGACTGTCAAGTCCACATGGCACTAAGAGTATGTTCGGTAAGGTGGATTACAGTACTGGATGATATTAACAAAGAAAGGAATTAAAATCTTATGTTATCATTCGGGATCATCTTAGACAATGTTTCCTGCCAAATCACTCGTGGTATGATCTTCTACATCCGAGGTCTTCCCGTTCCGTCATCTAGCTTATGTAACTTCTAGGAAATTTGTTTCAACTTGTGGCTGAGCTTCGAGCAATTATGGATGGGCTACGACTTGGTTGTAGGTTGGTCTCACACGTCTGGATTGAATCTGATTCTTTGGTGGCAGTGCAATGTATAAGTGAGATGGCAGCAGGGATTGGAGTATTCAAAACGTGATTAAATTCACCCATACAAGTTGGGCTTCAACTTTAGAATCTCTGATATTAACTAGAGAAGGGAATAAGGTGGCTGGTTTTTAACTAATGAGGGCACCATGCAATGTTACATGGTGTTGATAGGCAATAAACGCCAATCTAAACTTAATCGTATTTTGTATCTTGGTCGCTTATATGTCCCATATATCCGAGGTGAATATATTGGATCAAAGAAATAACAATTGCACAGCATTGAGGGTGATTTTTAGCTGTAGCATAATGTTTAATGATCTAGGCGTTAAATAATGGAGTAGTACTACAAATCTAGCTTTTGTTTTCCTATTTTTGACTTCCGTAACAAAAGTAGTACCTTCATCTTTAAGTTTCTCAAGGATTGATCTGTGCTAGAACATCTTGAAGTAAGTATCTCGCTCAAGTATGGGGACCCACCATCAGTATTTTGGTAGGATCTTAAAAATTCCAATATAGGCGGTGGTGGATTTTCTTAAGGAAAAAAGGTTAAAATCTAATTCATTTGTATTGCCTAATCTTGTCCAGTACTACATATCAAACATGCCCTATTAGTGAACCAATTTAACAGATTCACAAGAATATCTAACTCCTGAGTTCAACCTCAGCAACCAACTTTTAAGCAGAACTAATGCTAAACTATGATATCAAAAAAATGCTAAATGCCTACCATCACAGATATTCTTTTGGCCTCGGTTACACGTTCCAACAGTTGCAACACCTCATCCAGCTCAGCAGGGTACTTCGGTAACTTTTTACCTGAAACAGAAACGATATTTGGTCTAGGGAAAATAAAGGTCGGATAACTCCGCCAAGAAATTATTTAAATGTGTTTCTTACCAATAAGTTGCTCTATTTGCAGGTACCATCCCATCTCGTATTGATTGATCAATGATATTGCAATCCCAGAGCGTCCAGCACGAGCAGTTCTTCCAACGCGATGTATATAATCCTGAAGACATTTCACAAAATGACAATATAAGATTAAATTGACAAAAACCAGAAGACTGCATGTTGGTTGGTGATTATTTTATTATTACTTCTGATCAAACAAACTTTTTTATCCACACATTTTGTATGAACCAAAACTATTACTACCCACTTTCTATCCCTACATTCCATAGGACCCACAGCTTACAATAAGCACTATTTGTAGGATTCTACGATGTATATAATCCTGAAGACATTTCACAAAATGACAATATAAGATTAAATTGACAAAAACCAGAAGACTGCATGTTGGTTGGTGATTATTTTATTATTACTTCTGATCAAACAAACTTTTTTATCCACACATTTTGTATGAACCAAAACTATTACTACCCACTTTCTATCCCTACATTCCATAGGACCCACAGCTTACAATAAGCACTATTTGTAGGATTCTAGCCAGTACACTTTTTATTTGACAGCAGAGAATTCATATCTTGATGATAGTACCTCAAGAATGTAACAAACATTAAAAGAGGGCAAGCGCTGACCAAAGGCACTAAGAAGTGCTGAAACATTAAGCACGAATGCTGGTAAAGAGATGGTATGGAGGAAGAAACCTTGAAGAGCAATTTAGATTTCAAAACATTAAAATTATACATAACATTATATAAGTTAGCTACAAGTCTATAATACTACAGTAGATGGTAAGAAGCAGCAGACATATCATTTCAGCTCAGTTTTCCCAACCTCACAATAGCAACAATAATGAGAAAATACGACATGCCATTATAGGTACACCAGACTGTGTTTATGGGCCAGACATATGATGATCATTTGGTCATTTGGTCATAATAAGTGAGTCTACAAATGATTTGGAGAGATTTATTCACAGATTAGGTTTTTCTATCCACTCTTCTTCTTGCAGTCTTGTGCGATTCTACTTAATAATTATCTTTTTGTTTTTTCAACAAACAAAATATTTTTTTAGTAGCCAGAGAAGAAAATTATATTACAAGTTATTAACTTGCATTTTACATAAATAAGATGGAAGGGATGAAAGCAGTAAAATGTTGGACAAGTTGAGCTAACAATAGCCAGTCAACATGAAATGAGAACTCAGAAATTGGATATTGAGGAAAACAGACATCTTTGGAACAAGAACATAGTTTATAGACCACGAAGAATAAAGCTTAACCTTTGAGTTGATGGGGATATCGTAGTTGATAATCATATCTACAGATGGGATATCAAGTCCTCTACTGGCAACATCAGTACAGATGAGTATGTTGCACTCTCCAGACTTGAATTTGTTTAAGGCTCCAAGTCTTTTTGCCTGCAAATAAAAGCGAAATGAATGTGAAAGCGCATGGAAACAGACTATATTGCAAAAATGGACTGTTTCCATGTGTAACACACAAGTAGTACTTCAGCAAATCTGTTAGTAAGATATTTAAATAATACCTGGCTCATATGACCACTAATCGGAATGGCTCTAAAGCCAAGGTTCCGAAGAAGGTAAGCCAAAAGAACAGTTGCATCACATGTTCGAGTAAAAACCATAGATGTACTTTCTGGCTTCTCGGTGAGAATAAAAACAAGATAGCACTCCTGCAGCAAATAAAAGATGTAAATCAAAACCCAAAGAAGAACAATATAAAATAATTTAGCAAAGAATACCTTGCAACTTTTACTTTAATATAAGTACAATTGCAGAAACACGGTATGGAGAACAGACACAAAAAAGGGTTCTATTTTACTTAGCCTATGTTTGGCTAATGTAAATAAACTCTTTATAAGTACTCCAATCACATTATATCCTCACATTTCGAGGGATAAACAAGTACTATTCACAACACTTATTCCTATCTATTTATAATTTAAAAGGTTCATAAACACTTCCCAAACATACTTTTATTCTGAACTATTCTCCGAGTTCATTCAAACCAGTAAAAATTAGATTCATAATAGTTTTACCCCTATTGTTCGTATTTGTTGAACAATCATATTCTATAAGTAGCATTTAACTCACAAGCCCTGTAACGTAGTACAGAATTGGGCAGGTCTGAGGCAGGTCTAAAGCTCAACCTATTACTATTAGGCAAAAATAATCCACAATCAAAAGGTACCAGGAGTTGAACTTTTGTGCTCGCCATGAGATAAACAGTGCCCATTTTCCGACAACGTTTTACTGTAGGATGTTACAATCATAGTGCCCCATAGTAAGAAGACTAATAGTTTAAGTGATGATGACTTAGCATTAGAAGAACCACAATATGAACTAAAACCACACTTTTTTACCAAAGTGTTGACTCAATATTTTCCACCTTAGCCAGAAAAAATTACACATATACATATAATCACCATCTTAATGTTCATACAGTGGCTTCACAAAGGACTGGCATACAACATTAGGAGGTCTCTTGTATGCCAAATTGAAGCTATAGAAAGTACAGACCTTATACTTCGCCGGAACAAAGCAATACTGCTGCTTAAGCGTATCAACAGTGGAATATTTGGATGCAGCTTCAATCTGTTGGATAAAAAAACAAATGAGACAAATATTCAATGAGAATTTTTTAAAAATGACAAGCAAGAACACGCACAACATACCTTTACAGGATTTTTTAGACAAGCTCTCTGGAGCTTTTTCACCTGTTACATTGAGAAACAGAAATCATTAGGCAATTGAGATTATTTGCACTACATTCCATTCCTGGCAAATAACTGATTACATCTACCTGAAGCACAAAGAAACAGGACTCGATAGCCACAGCAAATAAGAATAAAGAAAAATCTATCTAGGTTTTCTTTTACTCTTGAACCAGTTAAGGCCTGTCTAAGAAAATATCACTATAACAAATGGATTGGGCTTTTTGGTCCACTGCACACAGATGACAAATTAGGTGACTGTCGATTTGCTTCTGCTGGCTGCTGCCAATTCAAATCCAGTAATTGAGTGAATCAAAGAAATGACTACAGAAAACTTTGAATATATTTAGATGCAGGATATGCAGAAGCAAGAAAAGCAAGGCAAAATGTAAATAACATTTTTTCTTCTATACATAAAAATGTTAACCAGAAAAAAGTAAGAACATTCTTTTGTAAGAATGATAATGAAAAATATAGCCGTTACAGGATCCACACAAGAGATAGAAGTCAAATATGCTGTTTTGATGTGATAGATAACAGTCATATTTTTCATTTTTGTGGCCAAAGAATGAGAATCAAACAAGGTCAAAATTACGAAAAATGCATATAAAAGATCTTCACAAAACATTAAAAACACCAAACAATATAATCAAATCTTATGAAACTATAAGATGCAATTTGCAGACTGACTAGAGGGAAGGTGTATGTGATCTGCATGATATCAAACAAGATTAACGTAGAAAGAAGGAATAAGAAATCATGTAACAGGAAAATAATGGCCACATGCAAAAAAGTTGACTACCGTGTTACATCCACCGTCACAGAAGTATGACTTAATGATGATGGATAGAACATATGTACACACAAGTTTACAGCATGACCATTAACTTGCATACCTTTTTAGTCATTGTTGCAGAAAATAAATATGTTCTTCGCTCACGAGGAATAACGCCCAAAATTTCATCAATCGTTTTCTCAAAATCCTCATTTAGCAATCTATCTGCTTCATCTAGTACCTGTCATATAAATAAATAATCACATGCTCACATGACATTTATTACCTATTAAGAAATGTTAAAAACTTAATTTGCATTCAATTCAAATTTTGTAATGTCCAGAGTGTTATTTCACAAAATTATAAAAGAGCTGCATAGAAAGAGGGTGCTGAAGGGGCATGGAGAAGAGTGTCATGGAAGTTGAAATGCGTATAGAGTCTCACCAAGTATTTCAATGCACGAAGAGAGAATCCTTTGGTATTAGAGAGATGATCAACAAGACGGCCAGGTGTTGCCACCTACAACAAGTAGGTCAACAAAATCGTCATTTTCAACAGTCAGCACTGCAAATAAATGCATGAACAAGAAAACAAATATCCATCAGGAATACAAACTAAAGTAGCTTCGAATATTCTAAAACTTTAGAGAACAATATGTATCTACACTTGAACCAAGCATCATAATAATGAATGATAGTTTCGTCAAGAAATTCACTGAAAGAACCAAATAGATATATCAGTCGAGCATGAACACTTTTTTTTTTCTCTATCTCTCTCTCTCTCTCCTGGCCCATCCTGATCTGCCACTAATTGAGGAGCTGAGAACCTAAAATCTGAAACGTAGTTAAACATGGCAGCTTCACATTTTGACTGGCAACCCAATAAGTATTCTGATTTATTCCAAGTTGCAAACTGCAGATTAATGTGAAGACGAGCACGGAAAAGTACAGGTGAATAATCACTGACACTTTCTTAATGGTCTATGTTCTTTCACTCCTTTTGCATATTCTGCTACAATCTTTGTGGGTCACTTTGGCAGAAACATTACCCTTCATCAATACCTCCTTTTCTCTCAAGTTTCATTTACATCTATGTAGCTCTGTATTTGAATTTAAAGCCACCAATGTAACAAAGCATAACATCGAAATCATATGAGATCCCCTCCTTTTCTTTCATCCACTTGACGACACTTTGTGCTCTCGCGCAGCTGCTTTGGGTACACACAGATTTGAAAATACATTTGGCTAATAATTAATCCTGCACAAAAAACGTTAAGAATAGGCCCGAGTGCAGCAGAAGATAAGAAGACTTACGACAATATGTGGCCGCTTCCCAAGCAAAATGCTCTGTTGCGCATGGTCTACGCCTCCCACAAGCTGCAAAAATATTTTTGACAACTCTAATCAATGAAAAAAGATCCAAGAAAAAATTAAACAAGAAACGTGTGTAACAATTACTTCATATCCTTAAAATTAGTAACTAAATACTGAAGCATCATGTTTTACCACTGCACTCTTGAGGCCAATGCCGGACCCCAAGGCTTCAAACTGTTCAGAAATTTGGATAGCAAGTTCACGTGTTGGGGAGAGCACGCAGGCGAAAAAGGCTTGCTCTTTTTCGAGAAGAGCTTGTATAATTGGGATGGCAAAGGCACCGGTTTTACCCGAACCGGTTTGGGCGAGCCCGATTATGTCCTTCCCTTCAAGGGCAAGAGGAATAGCTTCAATTTGTATCTTCGTGGGGACTTTCCAGCCTAAACTATCACAGGCATCAACTAATTGCTCATTCACTCCCAAATCTTTGAAGGATTTTTCTTCTTCTATCTCTTCCGCCATCGCTATGGTTTAGGAAGCTAAGAAGCGACGCCTCGCCGTGAAGAAATTTGGAAGTCCGCTGTTGAGGGTTTACAAATTCTTCAATGGTGCGCACCGACTAACGGCTAGGGTTCCTTTCGTTAACGTTACTTCAATGGTAGACTCCGCGATTTTAGTTCTGCTGGTACCTACTGCTTTTTATTTTTCCTTTTTATTATCCAACAAAAAAAATTAAAAATATTTAATTCAACAAAATTAAAAGCTCAAATATTTCAATATGTATGTGAGGTGAACTTTTATTTTATTTTATTTTATTTTTTTGATAAGTCTAACTTCATAGTTTCAATAATTTTATACAATTTTTTAAATCAATATTTTATCTATAATAATGTTTATTTTCATCAAATTGTCAATACTTTAGTAGAAAATTTTTACTTATATTTAAATTATGGATTGTACTTGATGTACATAATTTTGGTACATAAGGGTATCCACAATCCTTACATGAAGTGGGACTCGTGGGAGGTGCGCCCTATCTCATGTGAGGGAGTGTGGACATCCCTATATACATATTTTATGTACATCAAAATTTATTTTTAATGGTCCGTTTGATTGTAAAAATAGAATTTAGATGGAAAAAAAGAATTCCAGCGAATTGAATTACTTAGAAATTATTTTTCTGAACAAAATTGTAAATTATTGTATTTGATTAGTATAATTTTTCACGTGAAAAATGTTGAAATAAAAATATTTTTGGTGTTCATTTGGCTTTATTTTATATGAAAATTGTCAATTAAAGAGATAAATTTTACTGATATTGGGAATGAAATTTGTTTTTATTGTAAAAAAAAATTTCAAGAAATTCATCTATCTTTTGGTATTCGTTTGACTTTGTTTTACATGAAAATTGTCAATTAAAGGAAAATATTTTTTTACAATAATTCTTAGAACTAGTATCCGCCTCGTGCGATGCATGAGTATTGTATAAATTTTGTTATTATTAGCGTGGAATATGTCGAGTATTTAAAAAAAAGTTTTTTAAGTTGTTAAAATAAGAAATTAAAGTGAAAGTAATTTCATTGAAAGCTATAAATTAACCATAAGGTAGACCTAAAATATATACAATATTATGCAAAATGAACTTGGCCTATTTTTTAAAGATAATACTACTCATTCCATTTCTTACTCTATTTTTTCTTTCATTTTGTCCAATATAAATGGATTTGAGCCGGCACTTTCTAACTCTGACTGGTGAGTAGCTGATTTGAAAAGAGCTTTTTTGGCTGGAGGAGAGCAATTGACATCTGCATCTGCATCCATGTTAAAATTGTCCAAATTCTTTTTGAAATTAATATTCTTTTGGCAATCTTGTTCTTCATCTACAATTAAACATTCAACAGAGATGATGTCAAATTTGTAATTGGATGAATTAGGTTCTGCTTGAGTCGCTTTGAGATAGAATGCTCTTTCAGTATTTTGCATTTTTCCAATTATATCTCCAAAATCTGCTTGTGAACCCTGTGTATAAAAAATATGAATGTTATGAAAAAATTTATCAAATATATCAAAAGAGATTGGAGAAGACTGTAAATTATTACAAAGTTTGTTTCTTCCATCAAAGTTTGTGCATTTGTGAACATAAGTCTTTCTGTAGCTTCACCAATTGCACTTGCATTTATGCATCCTGTGACATCTGATAATTGGACATATGCTCTTGCTCTGAAATAAAGAGAGTAATTATTTATTTATATAGTAAGAAACTATATCATATAGATATATATATTATTAGAAAGGTGTGAAAAAAACATATTTTACCGAGAAATAGCTTTGGAATTGAAACTTTTACAGAAAATACAAACATATGTTTCACCAAAATCAGCGCTTGATCGCCGATAACAATTGCTGCAAGCTATATACCAACATTTTTTATCTATTTTTTCCATTTTTGCAGATGCATTCATCTAATAAAATTTTCTCTGAAAAAGGAAATTGTAATTTATAAAGAAACATAAATAGAAATCATAATATATTGTGTACAGATATATATAAATACCAGTAAAAGTCGACGATGTAGATTTTGAATTAAGGTGAATTTGTTGCGTATTGGAGAAGACAATTTTGTGGGAGATTTTTGAGTGTATGGCTTTTTCAAAATCAACTTATCGATTTTGTCCAAATTTGTATCTTTCCTGAAAGAAATGAAAGAGTAGATGAGCCAAATAAAACCAAAATAAATGTAAGCTGAAAGATATACATACATACCATTCAACCAATTCTTCTACTGCAATTAAAGGAGTATTCACGAAAAATGTACTACGAACTTTTGTGGAGAGTTTTAAACCTACACAATTCATTGATGCAAGATAAGAAATGCAATTTTAAGCAGAGTTTAAATAAGGAAAAATAATAGAAATTTACCGAAAAAAGAAGTGACTTTTAGATTTGTGGCAAAGATTACTGATTTTTTGTCAATATTTTTTGAGAATAATTTGCATTCTCTGTCAACAAAAGAATCCCACATTGTCAACACCATTGTTCTGAATTTTTGGTCCACAAGTGTTACATCTTGTACCCAAGTTTGGTTGTCATCTTTTGATTGAATCAATCGTTTAGGCATCATATCAATCAGAATAGCCAAAATGTCTGCAAAAAGAAAAATAAATAAATTATTTTTGTGTTGACTGTAATTATAATTATTTGATTAAATTATATATAATAGTACTATTTATTTTGAAAATAAAGATGAAATTTCTTACTTATATCAGTGTTTGTATCCATGAATTGCTCAACTTCATCGAAAGAAGTTAGGTGATAGGTGGAAAAAACAAGTTATAGGTTATTGTCATTCAACTCTTCAACACGAGTCTGTCCATAAATCGTCCATTGTAAGTAGTGCTCCTATTGAATATTTGTAGTTTCCAGTTTTGTTTTTAATATAAGTTTTAGAAATTGCATACATCTTTCCAAGAAGAAGTTGATTTTCGAAGGCTGTGATATTTGAATCATATAGACTTGCTTTGATAGTGTTACACTGATAGATAAAAATTGATTAGTGTAAGATTGTGTGTGTGTATATATATATATATATATAATTTTAATAATAATAAAAGAGAGAAAACATATTTGTTTTGAAAAAGGAAAAATAATACTAAATTGTTGTATAACTTACTTTAGTATCCATTAGTATCATGTGTTGGTATCTTCTATTGCCTTGTCTTGAAGGTTTCAGTGATTGTTTCTCTACAATAATTATTTTGGCTTTCCATTTTTGATTGTTGGATAGAATTTATGGTATAAATTGATATTTTTCTTCCATTGTTGGTGACAATGTTTTTATAAACAGGATGAAGACAAAGAGGAACTTTTGGAAGATTTTTTTTTTTTTTTTTGGTGAGATGAGATAACCAATCCAAATAGAAGAAAAAATATATAGACATCTAAAGTTATATTTTTTTATATGGATATTTACTGTAAAATCTAATCCATAGCCATACTTGGTATGGGGATAACTTGTAAATTGGGGGATTTCTTTTGATGATGAGATAACCAATCAAACATAGAGGAAGATATCTATATTTTTTATATTATTATATCTACCAGTAGTAGTATATTGTAAAATCTAATCTATAGCCATACCTGGCATGGAGATTACTTGTAAACTGGTATAGGGATTACTTGTAAAGTTGTAGTACTCATGAGATGAACTCAATTAATTATTAGAAGTAAGATATTTAAAATAATGTGAACTCTTTTTTTGTACCATATAAAACTAAAATAAAGCTATCTGACAATGTGTAAAATTTCATCGTGTTAGAGTAACTCAATAACTTGTGTAAATAGGTTTTATGCGCTGCATATGAGTAAACTGTGTATAAAGATCGCGAGTGGTATGATGAGAAAGAGTTTTGAAAAAAGATATTGATGATATATTTTTTGACAAATTTGATAAAATTAGTTTTTGGTTTCTTTTAATGTGAATGAGTATGTTAAACAAAAAAAAAAGTTAAAAGAGAATTTATTTCCTACAATTATTATCCCAACTAACTCACAGAACAACAAAATAACATTCTTACAATTATTATCTTTATTTATTGTTTGAACTACTAAAAGTTAAAAGTGTAAAGTCACGAGAATTCATATTCACATGTGAAGAATCTTATACTATTTATCTTATCAATCATACTAACTTTTTACTAATTCTACACATTTTTGCAAGAGAGAGTTTTCAAAGTAGAGAGTAGAGAGAAACATTTTAGCCGGTTGAAAAGTAAGATTTCTATTGTTGAATAAAAGAAAATGTTGTTTGGCATCTCTCCATAGGCTGCCTCTCGTGCACGGAGAGTTTGTCTCTGTGTCCTCCAAGAAAAAATTTGGAATAATCGACTTTGCACGTAAAACTCAAGAAGTTGTATATGTATAAATAATTGGGATTATTATGTATACATGGAAAAATGTCTATGAATTATAGGTGAGAAGGGTTCAATGTAACTATAATTTATGAAGAAAAACCTTCACAAATAAAATTCAATTTGAAGAAGCTGACTCCTATAAACATATTAAATTTGACTCTTAAAGTAAAATTTTCAACAGCAGAAAAAAGAAAAATAAGATGGAGAAAAAATTATAGTCTTAGTTATTCATATAGGTCTGCATTCTACCTAATGTATGAAGTCTTGGAGCTTTAGTATTTTTTTGTCATAATCATCTAATATAGAGCTAGAATTTCTTATAAATATAAATTTGTGTATTTTTTTATTATGCAGATGTCTCTTAAATATATTATCTCTCCAGATCAATGGCTCCCTGCCACTATTTGTCAATATCCAAATCGGAAATATTTCCTGGATTTTTTTGAATTTATAGATGCAAATCAACAGGCTTCTGTTATGTGCAGCAATTTCTATGAATTTTTTGTGGGAGTTATGTATAGGGAAGATGAGGAACAATTTAGCAGTAAGTTGATACATGAATTTGTGATGAGGCTTATGCACTATGATAAAAATAACGACGTGTGGGTACACTTAGGTGATCGTGTTGCCAGATTTAGTATGCAAGAATATTGTCTCATCACTGTATTACCATGCCATGAATCGTCTATGGAAATTAATCATAATCACCATCATCTTATAAATCAATATTTCAATGGTTTGAGAAGAATTAATATGAGAATGTTACATCAAGCATT